CTGGGAGCTGAACAGGGGTGAAATCCAGCAGGTTCTGACAGGTTCTGGAGAACCGGTAGCGGAAATTTTGAGTAGTTCAGAGAACCGGTAGTGGAAATTTTGAGTAGTTCGGAGAACCGGCAAATACCACCTCTGGCTGGCCCTAGAGTGGGGTGGGAATGGGGATTTTGTAGTATCCTTCCCCTGCCAGACCCACCAAGCCCACCAAACTACACCCACAGAACCAGTAGTAAAAAATTTTTGATTTCATCACTGGAGCTGAAGTCCACAAGTGTAAACTGATAAAGATTGGAGAGCCTTGATCTAAGTCACTGACCCTTCACTTTGCCAAAACCTACCAAGCTAAGTTTGTAGATAGCACCACCATCCTTGATCATGTTTAGAGTTCAGGGTTTCTGATATACATCTGTTTTTATACATAAACGCAGACATCTGTATACGTATGCTGTAAAATGGCACTTTAACCAGCTCACCCTGGCAATGTTGCTTCTGGGTTGAGTGACCATCCTAAGGGATGTGAGTGCAAGTAGTCCTCAACTTAAAACTAGTCACTTAATGCTCATTTGAAGTTACAACAGACCTCATTACTTAGAGCTACTTAAGACCTGTTTTGGAAGCTACACCCTGCAGTCATGGGATTGCATTTTGGGTGCTTGGCAATTGGGCCCAGTTCTATGCTGTTTGCAGTCTTCCATCTGCAGTTCTTTTGCGGTTTTCCAGTGTTTGTTACCAGTTTCCAGCAAAAAAAAAAAAAAAATCCACTGGGGAAAATAGATTTGTTTAACAATTGCAATGCTCGCTTAAGGGCTGGGGTCAGGGGTGGGTTCCACTTACCTTTACTACCGGTTCGCAATAGGAGCATGCGCGCGCTTGCTTTGGTCGCACACGTGCACTTCTGCGCATGTGCAGATCATCAGTGATGACATCGGGGCGGGTGGGCGGAGCCTCCCGCTGTCATTATTACCGGTTTGCAAGAACCGGACCGAACCGGGAGCAACCCACCACTGGCTGGGGTGTTTATTTAACAACTGCTGCAAAAAATGTCAAAAAAAAAAAAATTAGGCCCAGTCATGTAACATCTTGACTTATGACCACAATGACTTACAATCATAATTCCAGGCTCAGTTATGGTCGTAAGTAGAGGACTATAAATTGTGTGTTTATAACCTTCTGCAAAGAAAGGGCATCGGCTTGCTCCTACGAGAACAGCTCACATACACTTTTTTCCTTTGTTCACTTAGGATGGAAAAAAAAAATAAGGGAAAAAAGCACCATAAGAGAGAGTAATTTATATAACTGAAAGAGTTTACCTGCTCAAGGTCAGATTACCACTGTAAAATCCTTCTGGATTCAGAAAACTAGTATTTTGAAACGTTGATTCAGAACACATATGTTGCCTTGGGGATAAGAGCAAATCAAGGGGTACATTTACTCCTGCAAAGAATTAGACCAACTAGTCAACAAACCAGGATTTACGCATCATGGTAAATCCTAGCTTGTTGATTTAGTCATGGTCAGCATGGCTGCATCATAGAATGTGGTTTACTGACAACAATGGCTGCGTTTAGACAATACACTAGACATCAAACAAACTCATAATTTGGTTTAATGTGATGTCTGGACCGAGCCTTATATATATATATCGTGAATATAAGGGAAAGGTTTTACGATTAAGTACAAAAAGCATGAAAATGTAAATTCAAAATTGAAACATTAAAAACTTATCTACCTAATCCCTCAATCTCCAATGCTGGCTTTCTCCATGAAGATATTCCTTACACATAAAATCACTCATCTGGCTATCTTGTGAACTTTTCTACCTACTGTCTAGTTTTTTTTTTTTTAATTATTTATTTATTTGATTTATATGTTGCTCTTCTCCGAAGACTCAGGGCGGCTTACAATGCGTTAAGCAAGTCTTCATACTTTTGTATATTTATACAAAGTCAGCTTATTGCCCCCACATCTACTCTTAAAAATCCAACCACTCTTTGCAACTTAATAAAGTACACAATCTTGGAGCGAAATGGAAAGCATGGCCACGTTTAAATGAGGATGCTTAAGAGTATTTATTTATTAGTTCGATTTATATGCTGCCTGTTGTGGCCCCGCCCTCTGAGCCTATCTCATCGGAGGAAGAAAGCTCCGAACATGAGGAAGAGGAGTCAGCCAGGCCTCCCTCTCCAGGCCCCTCCCCTCTGGCACTGTCTCAGGTGCTGGCCGAGGGAGAGGAGATTAGCCAGGAGCCAGGTGTCTCGGATGAGAGCGAAGGAGAGCCGTCATTCCTGGATGCACGCCAACGAAGGCGTGATAAACGGTTGCAGCAGTTAAGGAGGCGTGCTAGGGATTAGAACTGAGTCACTGGACCACACCCCAGAGACTATATAAGAGAGGGTGGTGGCTAGTAAAACTCCGTGACGAACAAAAACGAACTTTGGCTAGTCACTTGAACAACGTCTGAAGCTGCCAAAAGGAATATTGTTTTGCTGGACTATTTGCAATGCGTATGTAATTTTGTGTTATCTGTTGCAGTAAAAGCTCTTGGCAGACGGTGATTATATTGCTGCCAAGTTTGAGATAACGACCTGTGTGCGTGCCAAGTACTTTCTTAACCCTCGGCTGGCTGTGTTTGTGTGTGTGTGTGGACGGGGACAGACCACTGCCCTTCTCCGGAGACTCAGGGCGGCTTACAATGCATTAAGTAATAGCCTTCATAATTTTGTATATATCTGCTTAGTAGGGCTTTTGCCCCCCCCCCAAAGCGGTGTTCTTTTTTATACAAAGTCAACTTATTGCCCCCACAATCCAGGTCCTCATTTTACCTACCTTCAAAAGGATGGAAGGCTGAGTCAACCTTGAGCCTGGTGAGATTTGAACCTGCAGTAATTGCAGGCAGCTGGCAATTAAGTGCTACTTTAACAGCACTTAGTCCACTGCGCCACCAGGCTTTTGGTATGACTAGGGAACTGGAGGGTAAGACATATAAAGAATGGTTGCAGGAACTGGACATGTCTAGTCTACGAAAGAGAAGGACTAGAGGTGACATGATAACAGTCGGATGGAAATGTATCCAGGAGAGATCTAACCTAGGAGAAACTTCCAGACAGTGAGAACAATTAATCAGTGGAACAGCTTGCCTCCAGAAGTTGTGAGTGCGCTATCACTGAAGGTTTTTAAGAAGAGACTTGAAAGCCATTTGAAAGCAATCAACCAATTGAATAGCTTGCCTTAAGAAGTTGTGGGTGCTTCATCACTGGAGGCTTTCAAAGAGACTTTACAACCATTTGTCTGAAATGGTGTAGGGTCTCCTGCTCCAGCAGCGGGTTGGACTAGAAGACCTCTGAGGTCCCTTCCAACTTTATTATTCTACGTTCCATTTTTCTGAAACAGTATAGGCTCTCCCTGCTTGAGCAGAGTTGGATTAGAAGATCTCCAAGGTGCCTTCCAATTCTGTTATTCTGTTATTATTAAGTGGCATATAGAGATAGTCTCTTCACTAATAGCTTTACCACTTATTCATTTAAGCCAGCTATTTCTTTTAAGAAAGGAAATCAATTGCTGAAACACGACCCTTTTAAAACTATTCTGAAAAGTTGAGTTTACCTTTGGCCTACATGAAAATGTAAATTTTCAAACCATCGGTGAGTCATCTTTTTAAATGCTACCCAAAGCTGTGTGAAAAGGAGAGAAAAGTAAGGTCAATCTCAGCTCGATAATTTAAAATCAAAAGCCCAAACCGACTCATATATTGCCATCTTTTGCAACAAAATGTGTTCCCATTTTGTTAAGACTTCGGTTATTCTGAACCTTGGCCGCATTGCTTTTTGAGATGATGAGAAATAAGTTCTTTTTTTAAAATTAAGAACTGTAAAAATAATTGCATTTTTTTTAAAAAAAAAAATCCCCCAGTTTATTTGAGCAACGCCTAGATAGGGATAGTGATTTTGTAGCTTTCCAACTGTTGCTGAAGAATTTTCAATATTAACTGTGCTGACTAGGACTTCAAGGAACTGTAGATCAACAATATCTGAAGCGCTTGTCCCAAAGGTGCTTTTTCAAGAGGCAACTGGACTTTCTGGTTTTTCTTTGAAGACGTTTCGCTTCTCATCCAAGAAGCTTCTTCAGCGCCGATTCCCACTATCCAGTCAGAGCTGAAGAAGCTTCTTGGATGAGAATCTCCATTCCCTCCCCACTCCAGGGGAAGGTTACTGCAAAATCCCCATTTCCTCCCAATCAGCTGGGACTCGGGAGGCAGAGAATAGATGGAGGCGGGGCCAGTCAGAGGTGGTATTTACCGGTTTGCCGAACTACTCAAAATTTCCACTACCAGTTTTCCAGAACTGGTCAGAACCTGCTGAAACCCACCTCTGTTCTGTACTAACCTAACATTGGGAAAAGGAGGAGCTAGAAACTAGGAGGAGCCTGTAATGCTTATTGAGTTCTTTCCTGATCTGTGTCCAACCTTGAGGACGATGTCACAATTTGAGAACTTTTATTTTTAAACAAGGTTTTCCCCATAGAAACACAAATCACAGTTCGATGGTAGGAAAAATGCTGTTGTAATCACCTGCATGGATTATTGTTTTTTTTAAAAAAAGTGCTCCTTTTTCAACAAGTTGAGGGTGGAATTAGATCTTGTGACCTTCACATAATTTTGTGACCAAGAATGCAAACAGAAAGCTTTTACAAAGATAAGATAATGTTCTGATGTTCTTCAACTATGTCTGACCGCATCAACATAACCATGGGAGCTACTTAATAAAAAAAAACCTCAGAATGTTTGAATTATTTGTGTAACTATACTTCAAGAAATAAATTTGATTTGAATTTGACCAGTTGTCCAGCAGTGAACAAATATTCAGATCTTGCCTTCAGGAAGAAAAATGGTAAATTAGTTTTTTTTCCCCTTTAACTATCTCTAATATTCTAGACAGAGAAAAAATATTTTCCGTTACTTTACAATTTAGTACCAAACAGATAGATTTGCAATGTTTGACAGCTATCATTTCTTGTACACTTTATTTATGATCTAGAAAATACTTTTAGATTACCAATGACAAAAATAAACAAAAGTTGATTTGGAGGATATATTTCTCTGTGAAAATAATACAGCTTTCAAAAAATGTAAATATTTTCATGATGGAATTCCTTTCAAAAATACTTGTAAGAAAATATCATTTTACAACCACTATTACATAGCGAAATAAGTTTTGTTCTCTACAAAATTCAGAATCATTAATAACTAAATATCAACTCTGAAGCTAGGATCCAGTTGCTGGATTTAACAGGAAGAACATCTTCTTGGCCTCTTTAATAGCAGTAAACATTTTTACTATTTTGTAATGAGTTCTCCATGCTGATCAGTCCTAAAATGGAAGCAAGGTCCTGCTTATTGTGTATTCCTGGAAAATATATGCAGAGTTTTTTTTTTCCACTGCAAATTTTCCTCTTACGGTGACAGCTGTAGAAGCTTTGATGAGCATCCATCAGAAGTACCTCCAGATGTCCTCACCAGCACTGCTTAAAGGACCTGTTCTGCTTGTCAATAGCCAAGTTCGGTACGTTCAGATTTTTGTGCTTAAAAAACATACAATATTGCATATGAGCTTGACAATCAAGGTATGCAGAGCACATACCTCAGAATAACATCACGTTCCTAAAAAGACACCGTTTCCAACCCAACAGGTATCTCCTTGAGACCTTTATCAACTTCGCTTATCGCCAACTTCTGAACTCTCAGAAGCAAAGGGAGGAAAACCAAATTAGCGCTGGATTATCTCACTTTCTGCATGACTCGCTTCCCTCTTCCTGAATGCAAACAATCACACAGTGCATTAGCAGAATAAACCAAAGTTCTTGAAGTTAAGCTGGTCCTTGTTTGGTATGCAAGACATTTATGGGTTGACAATGGCGGGTTATACCTTCAGCAGAATAACAGTACAGTAGCAAATTGCCTGGATTGCACCACTTTAATCTATAGGTGAGGAATTGGGGAAATTAACCTGGTTTGGGTGTCCCAATATATAGGAAGCTAAAGTGAAGATAAACTAAGCAGCAATAGGAAGGAATCATATAACTGTGCATTTTTCTCTGCTAGGCATTTTTCAAACCACAGGAAGGATTTTTTTAAAAAGGGTGGGACTTTTTGATAGATAGCAAAACAGCCTTTCGTCACGTGATTACTAACTTCTGGCTGAATGCTACAAAAAAAAGGACAACGGAGAATGTTTCTTTATAAGATCAAGGACCACCGGCCTAAGCTCATTTCAGATGATCAGTGATTTGTCTAAAGTGATTTGTGGCACCGTCTAGCCACCGCTGGAACAAATGAAGTACAAAGTGAAAAAGGAGCAAGACTTTACATCACTGTCTTTCCCTCACTTATCAACCCACAATTCAATGTCGCTTACTCTAGAGCAGGGATCTGCAACCTTAAATGCTGAAAGAGCCATTTGGACCTGTTTCCCACAGAAAAGAAAACACCGGGAGCCACAAAACCTGGGTGGGTGTGGCCAACTCGATGTCACTCACTCCCACCCAGTCACATGACACACACCCCAGCCGCGCCTACTCAGGTTTTGTGGCTTCCAGTGTTTTCTGTGGGAAACAAGTATCTCTCTCTCTGTGTCCCCGTCTCCGTCTCCGTCTCTCTCTCTCATCTCTCTCAGGTCAGGCGAGGAGTGACTGGAAGGGGAGGATGACAGGTGGGACCAGCCAGTGGTGGGTTCAGCCGATAGGGAGCCACAGCAGGGGGACGAAAGAGCCGCATGTGGCTCCAGAGCCACGGGTTGCAGACACCCATTCTAGAAGAATAACCAACCACCAGAACATCAATTCAACCCTCTGCAAAATATGGTAATTGGATGCATGCGGTTGAAAAGCATCCCTTACATGGTTTTGCAATGAAGAGGTAGCAGAGAATATTGTCTGCTTTAAGTGGTGGTTAATAATTGCTAAGCATGTTTTAAAATGCTGCTTAGTTACACCAAACACCTTTGCTTCCAAATGTGCAACTTTACTACTTAAAACAAATCAGAGGCTTTTATGACAAATCAGCCATTAGCAAGGAAGTTAACAGTCGGTTAACCAAAACACACAATTCTTGCTTCTTCTATTTGCTGATCGGAATGAAGATAACAAATTCCTAGCTACAAAGCAACTCCTGAAGCACAGCTCCTAGCTAATGCATGCGGAACAATTTTTTTTATAGGATTGGCAACTACACAGCTGCAGTTTCATGTTAGCAGCAATAATGCCCAAGCAGAACTTTTTTACCAGTTCTCTTTTTTTATAATTGTGACTTGCCAACAAGGCAAGTCTGCTTTCTCTTCCTTGCGTTAACAATATCCCTAGAGAAGCAAAAGTCCACCAAGAAAAAAGAAGGGATCAACAGAGATCAGCTTGAGGGGCTGAAGACAGAAATTCCCTAACCTGAAAATGAACAATATGTACCGTCCCTTTCCTTTTTTCCCCCTATTGTTAATGGGGAGGATGTGCTTTGCTGACTTACTATACAGAATGAAACCAAACAAATAGACTGGAAAAAATGCAGAGAAGATGCCGGGCTTCTCAAATCAATGATTTTATACATAAAGAAATGATAAAACAGACTGAAAGAAAAAGTGTTGTTTTTTTTTCTCCAATGCATAAAAGCCTAGTCCTCAGGCATTTAAGAGTAAAAATAAGACAACCAGCTTCACTGCCTAGGAATAAAATTCATTTTTAAAAACATTGCCTGTCTCTTGTGTCACCTTTTCCAACAATACATAATGTGCCCAAACAGTGCTTGGATTTGTAGCAAATTAATCCTGCTGTAACCACTGGTGCTAAGAGGGTTTAGCTGCCTTCCCACTAAATTTCAATAACTTATAAAAAGACTGGCTGGCCATGGCTTAACTCAACTTTACACTGTAATTAAAGGGAAAAAGTTTCTTGGTAGCTGGTTCCTAAATGAAAAGCTGCAGGCCTTATTCCAGGGTAATTCCACTTTGTAATCCCACTTCTGTGCAAACAGGTTACATCCCTCCACAACCATCCAGAAAAGGCCCTTCGGCCACAGCCAACAAATGCTACTTCTGCTTTGCAACTTTGCCAAATCCTTCAGCGCAAGCAGGCCAACCAAATGTGACCCCCCCCCCCAAATGCACAATAATTTAGCCATTAAATCCTCACAGAGATATCCGGGGACAGGAAGAATGGAAGGTCATAACCAGCAGAATGAAAGGGACAGAGATTCCAGAAATGCCAAAACAGGGTAGGAGGAAAAGGGAGGGGGGAAGTGGGGGGGGGGGAGGGAAGAAATGACCTTGCTAAAACATTGAATCCTGTTAAATTCACTGATGCTGGATCTCGTCCAATTTAAAACAAGCCAGAAGCTCAAAGCAGGAGAAACAGGGGTGCAATTTGGGAAGAGAGAGACTTAAATGCATAAAACAGCGAGTGAGGAAGATCTTCCTGAGATTTAACCCTCAACCGTATAAACTTGCTGGTTTCAAGCAAGCACCAAAGGAGTTAAGTGCTGAAGGACCGATGCTTAATCAGCTTTGCCCCTTTCCTTCACATGGAGTCAACCTGCACTGGAAGAGCCCAAAGGGCTTATAACAGCTCAATTTCGCAGGATTCAGTTTTAATCCGTCGCCAAGGTTAAGCAGCCAGACTGTGCAAGGACTGCTACTCAGTAACAGTCCAGGCACCTGGTTTGCCATTAGCACCACCGTCTTCGTTGTCGGCCTCGGCTGCCTGGAGATGGCTGGACAATTCTTGGATGACGGCCACTTTCCCGATTTGATCGTTCCTTCGTTTTTCCATAATGAGATCTTCCAGGCTCTGAAACTCAAGCGTGTGACTGCGTTTATCTCCCAGCTGGATCTGCAACCGGTAAGGTTGCTTCCCTATGCGCAGTTCGCCCCCAATTTTGAACTCGCGCTTGCCGTAACGGCACCAGGCGGCAAAACATTCAGAGTTCCTCCAGCTGAGATCTTGGTCTTTGCGGCCTACCTGATCCAGGGCGTTTCGTACCACGGTGGCGGGATTGAGCGGTTTGTAGCGGTACAAGTGGTTCGCGATGCGCCCCCGTCGGCCCTGGCTGGCGTCGGTGAGAAAACTGTTCACCACTTCAAGTCTGTGAAGGTGTACAACTTGGAAGTCTCCTACGTACACTGCCCAGTGAGGGTACTGGGCCTGGCACACAAATTCTATCAGATCGCCAGCTTTGCACTTGTTCAGTAGGTTTTCTGGTGTGTAAGTGGTGAAATGGCCCCCTCCTCCTCCACCACCCCCCACCTCACCAGACGAGTTGTGGTCGCCGGAAAAACTCTTCTGATAGATGCACTCGTCCCGGTAATAAATGGAGCATTCCACTTCGTGAAGTTGCGGGTCGTACGGTTGTGACGCAGGGTGTTCCCCACCGAGCTCTGCTGGGTCTTGTTGAGGCTCTACATCATCATCATCATTGGAAAATATGTAAGAAACTCCAATTCGGGGACCCTCATCTCGGTCCATGCCGGCTGGGTCGGCTGTGGGAACCTCTCTGTAGTTTAAGTGGGTCAGTTTCTCTACCTGATTCCCCATGCCTGCTGAAAGAGAACCAAACAGGTATTAGTACAGGTATAAACTAATGAGGAATAAATCAAGTAGATCTCCCTAAGTCAATCTCCTGGCAATCTTTTTGGCAGGGTTCCATCAATGGCTTACGATTGCCTTCCTACTGATTTTATTTTAACACCTAGCTTTTTGATATAGCTTCTAGCAGGGGGACGTGGTGGCTTAGTGGCTATGAGGCTGAGCTTGTCAATCGAAAGGTCGGCAGTTCAGAGGTTCGAATCCCTAGTGCAGTGTAATGGGATGAGCTCCCGTTACTTGTCTCAACTTCTGCCAACTTAGCAGTTCGAAAGCACGTCAAAAATGCAAGTAGGAAAATAGGGATCACCTTTGGTGGGAAGGTGACAGCGTTCCGTGCGCCTTTGGGGTTTTAGTCATGCCGGTCACAGGACCACAGAAATGTCTTTGGACAGTGCTGTCTCTTCGGCTTTGAAACGGAGATGAGCACCGGCCCCTAGAGTCGGGAACGACTAGCACATATGTGCAAGGGAAACCTACCTTTACTATAGCAGGGGTGACAAATTTATTTCATTGAGGGCCGCATCAGGGTTGTGTTTGACCTCAGGGGGCCAGGGTGGGCATGGCCTGCCTGACATCACTTGTGTCGGGGGCACCGTGGTGGCCCGAGTGCTCTGCCAGCGAAAACAGGTTCCCGAGCTCCATTTCCGGCTGCGATAGCCTCCTGCAACCCTCTGTCAGTGAAAACAGAGCTTGGGAGGGCCATACGTGGCCCTCCCGAGCTGCATTTTTGGTGAGAGAGGCACCATGGGCTGATCCTTTGCGGGCCGGATCTAAGCACCCCATGGGTCAGATCCGGCCTTGAGTTTGACACCCCTGGCTTATAGCAATGGCACTTAGACTTATATATCGCTTCACAGTACTTTACAGTCCTCTCTAAGCGGTTCATAGAGTCAGCCTATTGCCCCCAACAATCTGGGTCCTCATATTATAGGTATATAGGACCTCTTATACTCCTGGAGGTCTCTGAACTCTTAGATAGTAATTCTACAGTCAGCAAGATTCTTCCTGATAATGTCTTGCAGCTCACTTGGGAATAGCCTTCCCTTCGTGTTTTTTTAAAAGACAAATTCATATACCATATTTCTCAGAGTATAAGATACACCTTTCCCCCCCCTAAAACGGGATGAAAATCTGGGTGTGTCTTATACACTGAATGTAGCCCCACCCATCCATTGGCCCCCAACCTTTGGCCTCTGCCTCCCAGCAATTTACCTCCTTGCAGCAAGCAGCAAGAAGAAACAGTCCATTTCAGCTTCAGCACAGCCTAATTAGCACAAGTTGATTGTCCCTTGGATCGGCCTCCCAACTCTCAGCTGTTTCAGGCTGCAGGAATTGCCTATTGCTACATGGGCCTCTGCTGCTTGCTGCAAGGAGGTAAATTGCTGGGAGGCAGATTTTTTTTGTTGTTGTGCTAATCAAGCTATGCTGAAAACGAAAATGAAAGTACAGCAGGCTGTTTGCTGCAACAAGGCAAAATTGCTGGGAGGCAGAAGCAGATTTCTTTTTCTTGTTTTCCTCACCAAAAAAGGTAGGTGCGTCTTATAGTCTGGAGCGTCTTATACTCTGAAAAATACGGTAGTTAGGCCATCTCCTCAGTGAGACAACTGAACAAATGTTCTACCGCCTCTTGCCTTAAAGCCACCGTCATCTTGCTTGAGCCCCACTGCACATATATGTCCCCAGGATGCAGCTCTGAAGTACCCTGAAAAGAGACCGGTGTGGACCACGCTATATAACACACAACTTGACTATTTTTCTTAATAAAAAGCAGCTGGAGGGGGAAGTATTGAATAGATGAAGAATCTCATTTTTTTTAACGGGTTCTCTTTTTCATTCAAAGTTGCCAGCTGAGGAAAGGGAGAAACCTTTAAAATGAGGAAACACCTACAAAAGCCAAAAAGTCCCTTCCTGCATCCTTACAACCCTCTCATCCTGAAGTGCAGGACAGCTCACTAACTCAGGCATTACATCCTCAATTTATGAGCACAATTGAGACCCAAATTTCGGCTGCCAAGCAAGACAGTTCTGAAGTGAATTTTGTCTCGTTTTACGACCTTTCTTGTCACGGTTATTAAGTCAATCGCTGCAGTAACATGGTTGTTAAATGAATCTGCCTTCCCCGTTTGACCTTTGCTTGTCAAAAGGTCGCAAAAGGGGATCACGTAACCCCCGGGACACTGTGACGGTCATAAATATGAGTCAGCTGCCAAGCATCTAAATTTGGATCACGCAAATGAATTTGGATGCTGCGGCAGTCGCAAGTGTGAAAAACGGTTGTAAGTCACCTTTTTTCAGTGCCATTGTGACTTTGAACGGTCACAAAACGAATTGTCATAAGACGAGGACTACTTATACTGCAGAATAAAAAGTTATGAAGGCATCACTGTTGTTAATCTAAATTACTAGGCTGTCCGAATCTCTTGGAAGAGATGATTTAGAGCAGTGATGGCTAACCGTTTTGCCATCACGTGCATGGAGTGGGGGAGGAGGGGTGTCACGCGCGGTCATGCCCACATCCATAATTCTATGCACCTCCCCTGCGCATGCGACCCCCCCCCCCCCCAAGCTCCCGCTGCTCCTGGCACACGATGGCCCGGTAGTCCCATTTTTCTCTCTCCCCAGGCTCCAGAGCCTTTCTAGGAGTCTGGGGAGGGCAAAAACAGCCTTCCCCACCCCCCCGGAGGCCCTCCGGAGGCCAGAAATAGCCCGTTTTCCAACTTCCGGTGGGACCAATATGGCTACGCGTGCCACCTGTGGCACGCGTGCTATAGGTTCACCATCACGGATTTAGAGTATGCAGAAGCTGTACGAAAACATCTCCCACCCCCAATAATTATAGCGTCTGGATTTTTTCCCTCTCCTCCCTTCAGACTTGCATAGCTGCATTGAAAATCTCTTTCCTGGCTGTCTTCACAAGTGAAAGGAAATGCGTGGACAGACAGACAGACAGACAGACAGAGAAGGAGGCAGGCAGGCAGGCACCAACAGCTAAGAGCAGCTTCTGAAAGCAGCACTGCAAAAACCTGGAAAAAAGTCAACACAGAAAGCAGCATTTCTTACAGACAACAAAGCACACGCCCATTTTCTGATAGGAGACGGGAGAGCTGGTTGTACCATCCTGTGCAGAGAACGTGGAATTCATCTAATCGCGATCCAGACTTTTGTGGAAGGCATTTGGGTCGGGAATGCTTGCTTGGATTTTTATAATGTTGGCCTGGGGCTCTGGAGTTGTTTGTCCACACACGGTGGAGTTCATCATTGGAGGGGGAAAAAAAAAAGATAGGCTGAACTTCTATACTTGATTAGGAAAGAGTCCTCTTGAATGAGAAGCATATAGCAATAGCAATAGCCCTTAGACTTATATACCGCTTCACAGTCCTTTTACAGCCCTCTCTAAGTGGTTTACAGAGTCAGCCTATTGCCTCCCAACAAACTGGGTCCTCATTTTACCCACCTCAGAAGGACGGAAGGCTGAGTGTTCTGCTCCAGCTACGGACCCCAAAGAACGCAGCACACACAAAGTCTGTACAAACCTTAGTTTACTAAAATAAATCAGTTTTTTTTTTCAAACAAAGGCTGTTAATTAACTTTCTTAACAGCCTACAAGAATCCAAAGAATAAATAACTGTAATCTTACGATGGTTGGCAGAAAGCCCAGAAGCAATTTGCAGGAAACTGATAACTAAGATCCAGACGCAAAGGAGAGTGAACGAAGTTGTTCCCTGCAAATTGCCTCAGTCGTCGTCCTTCCTTAAATAGGCTAAGGGAGTGGCCAATTAGCCTCAAGCCTTACTCTTGAGGAGACCTCCTCCTGAGGAGCCACTCCTGCCTTTTGGCAGCTCTGCGCGCCCATGCATTGAGAAGAGGTTCCTTCTCTTCTTCCTCTTCACTTATGGGAGCTTCTGGAGGTTCTGAAGGGCCTGGCTGAATCCCCGCCTCTGGCACCACATCTTCTCCAGCCTCCTCATTGTCTGACTCGGGTGCCAGCTGCACAGGCTGCTGGCGGAGCACCACACCAGCCTCCTCACTGTCGGAATCAGCTACTAGCTGCACAGGCACTGACGGGCCACAACACTGAGTCAACCTTGAGCCGGTGAAACTCGAACTGCCGAACTGCAGCTAGCAGTCAGCTGAAGTAGCCTGCGGTGCTGCACTCTAACCACTGCGCCACCTCGGCTCTTATATATGTAGATGTGGTTGTCAAGGTACATAGAGGTAGTCCTTGACTTACAACAGTTCAGTGACCCTTCAAAGTTACCACAGCACTGACAAAAAGTACAAAAGGGACTTTTTTTTTTTTTTTTTACAGTTATAACCTTTGTAGCATCCCCACAGTAAGGTGATCAAAATTCGAATGCTTGGCAACCGGTTCATACTTACAACGGTTTGTCCTGGTGTCATGTAATATAATCTTTTGAGACTTTCTGACAAACAGGGAAGCCAGATTCACTTAACAACCGAGTTACTAGCTTAACAACTGCAGTGATTCACTTAACAGCAGAGACAAGAAAGGTCGTACAATGGGGCAAAACGCACGTAACAAATGTCTCACTGAACAACAGGAATTTTGGGCTCCATTGTGGTCGTAAGTCGAGGACTACCTGTAATATATCCACAGGGGTCTTTGTTAACACCTTCCTGACTTCTACGCCCATTTGATTTTTTTTAGTAACTGGTCATGTGATGATAACATGGATAAGTGAATGGGGAGCCCCTCCCCTGACATGGCACCTATGCAGCCCATAATATGCCCTCAAAATTCCAGATGTGCTTGTAGATCCACAAGGAGAGCTGACTCTCTTCTCCGTAATTTTTATTCACCTCTCTATAAGCGAGACCAGTACAGAATAACAGAGTTGGAAGGGCCCTTGGAGGTCTTCTAATCCAACCCTCTGCTCGAGCGGGAAACTACAGGTAGTCCTTGACTTACAACAGTTCGTTTAGTGATTGTTCA